CCTCCGACCTCTCCGGCTTTGCCTGGAGCGCCGCGCACTCCATGCATTGAGTCGTTGAGGACGGTCTGCAGATAGCGCTGCTGTCGGGGACGCACGACCTCCTGGTAGTAGCCCGTGGGGGACTCGAGGTCAAACACGTAGGGGAAGACGAGCGCCGGGCGCCCGTCCGCCCTGGGGGCGAAGGCCACCATCTTGAGATCCTCCTTCCGGGGGTTGTCTGTCTGCAGCACGCGCAGGAGGCCTCGCTTCTTCTCTCGGAGGCGCTCGCACCAGGTCGACCGCATCTCTTCCCATAGCTCGTAGACGAACTTAGGCGGGAAAGCATGGTCGTCCCTCTCGCACTCCCGCGCGAGGGTCTCCAGGCAGTCCAGGCGCTCTTTGATATGCTCTCGTCCGAAGACGAGCCCGAAGAACTTGGTCATGTTCTGGGCCTGACGCTTCCACTGGTCAAAGACCACGGGGGCCCTGGGCCTGGGCTCCAGCTTGGTGTCGTGCGGTGCGCTGTACTTGTCGAACGCGACCGTCTTGCACGTCGGGAAGTCCGCCACGGAGGCCGACCACGGAGCTAAGTTGTCCAGGCTGCTGCCGCCGAAGTTGAGCGAGGCGCATGCCATCGCGATTCGGTTGGACACGGCCGTGGGTGTCTCGCCGGCAAGCATCAAGGCCTTGTTCTGTTCGCACGTCCGGCGCAAGGCGTAGAACAGCTCGCGCCCAAGGACCTCGTCGCAGACCTCCACGGTCAGCTGGCCACACCCGCGCGCCAAGTAGACATCCAGCTCCTCCGCTCTCCCCAGCGCAGCCACTGTCCCCCGCTGGGCCGCTTTGTCACCCTGGCGAGCACTGGCGACCCATTCCAAGGCGTGTAGCATCCGCGCGGTGTTCGCGTCCATGGGTGCTCCGGGGTGTGCGAGGCCGAACGGGTCGCTGCTTCCGCCCTCCTCCGGGGCTCCCGCTGCATAGCGTGCTGGGGCTGCAGTCAGACCGGGGGGTAGACCCAAGTCGCTGATGTGCTGATCGTAACGGAACAGGGCCCCGATGTTCGGGGCCTGTGGGCGGACGACCGGGCCCAACCCGGCTGTGGTCGCTGGGGGGCCGGCGTCCCGCGACCCCAAGGCGAAAGCTGATGTGGCTGCTGCCGGCGAGCGGGGTGGCCGCGCTTCGAACAGGGGCGCGCTGTCGGCCTGGGTGGCCGGCGGCCCCTGCGAGCGCGGGCGCTCGGGCGGGAGCTTGAGGGGCCCTTGAAGGCTGCTCGGCGTCGCCTCTGGGGTCTGAGGTCGCGAGGGCACCTGCTGAAGCGCCTCCCAGCTGCTGATGTGCCCATCGAGCCGAGCGAGTTCCTCCGGCTCGATCGTCTGCTGCTTGAGGTGCTGGGCGTAGCGGACAAGGCTAGCGAGCACTTGTTGGGCCTCCTCGTCGAAGCCGGCGGCCACGCTCTGCGCCGCCGCCGCGTCGCTCGACCCGCGAGCCTTCTCTTCCAGGTAGCATGCCATCATGTCCCCGCCGTCGTCCCCCTGCTGGCTCTCCCCCGACGCTGGCGCCTCGGAGCTAGCCGCTCGCTCGCCCTCGGCTGACGGGGAGCGCGAGCCGCGGCGTGTGGCCCCAGCTGGCGGTCTGGGCGAGCTGCTGCGATCGAGCCGTTGCCAGTGGCTGCGCAACTTGGCGTCCGCCTCTCGCCTCGAAGCTCGGACTGGGCGCCGCGCCTCCCTCGGGGTGCCACCTGACCTAGCTGGCCACCTTCTCGCGGAGCAGCCGCCAGCGAGCTTCGCTGAGTGGCCCGGCTCGACCGCCCGCGGGGGGCCCGTGCCACGCCGCCAACTTGTGCCAGACTTTCTCGGGTATGTTGGTCGCTGAGACGCTGATGCCGAGCTCCTCGCAGCCCAGGGGCGCGTGGTGCAGCATCTCTTCGATGAACCCTGCGGGCAAACGCCCTGAGGGCCCTGGGGCAGGCGCACGGATGACGCCGTCGGGCTTCACGAGGAAACGGATGGACGCGCCAGTCGGGTCCTCCACCTCGAGAGCCATTGCACCGTCGAGGTAGTCAGCAACTGCACTGGCCGCGGCGGCGTCGACAGCCCTTCCCCTGAAAATCATCCACTGCGCTCCCTCTGGCCACTGTGCCCTCGCCCGAACGATGAAGTGCCGCCCGAGCGGCATGGGCGGCGGCGTGGGCGGCTTGGGGAACTCGGGGACCGGCGGCGCCTCGAAGCGCGCACTCGGTGGCCCAGCCGGCGCGGGGACAGGGTCACCTGGGCTGGCGGGTGCCTCTGGGGCAGAGACCGCTGGAGCAGGAGGCTCTGGAGTGCGACTCCGTGTTGGTGTAGCGGCGGTACGCTCCGGCGTGCGGCTCCGTGGAGCAGGGCTCCTCCGAGTTCGACGCCGCAGGCCCGCACGGAACCCGACGCCCGTGGGGGTGTCATGGAGGGCCTTGGCGGCGTCGCCTCCAAGGTGCTGCAGGCAGAGCGGGGCCCCTGAGGCGTTGCCCACCGCTTCGCGGAAGCGCGTCACCTGGGAGCATTTCTCGCCATAGCGTAGGACCATGTAGATCTGCCTGTGGTGCTCGCAGAGGCAGGCTGTCGCATTCCCCTCGCTGGGGGGAGTGAGGTCCGAGGCTCGGCCGTCCTCCGCCAGCAGCGCGGTTGGATCGCCGCGTGCGGCGTCACGACAGCCTTCAGGCGCCAGCGGGCGCATCTTGCCCTTGATCATGAGCCCCACCTTCACCCCCTCGCAGGGGTTATCCTCGGCATCCACTTCGGACTCGGACTCCTGGTCAAGCAAACTCGCCACGGATCCCTGCGCACCAGGCTCCGCATCGCCAGTCTTACGACGGCGGCGTCGCCGGCGGCAGATGCACCCCCCGCAGCATGAGAGCCATGAGAGGACGTACAGCAGCAGCTTGTAGACGAGGCCCAACGACCTCAGAGCCAAACGAAGATCCGGCACGGCGTGAACTTTAAAGAGTAATCGCCGAGGTCCACGATAGCCTCGTTGTCGAGGGCGGCGTACTCCTTGCAGTGCAGCTCGTTCTCGCGCCCCTTGCATCCAGCGCAGCTGGTGGAACGACACAGGTGAAGCCAGCGCGGGTCGCGCTGCTCCAGCTCGCGCCTGAAGCCCTTGTCGCTCGCGCCCTGCACGGAGTCATATTCAGCCCACAATCCCTGGCGATTGATGCGCTCCGGGGACTTCATGTTGAGCTTGAGGCGCGCGACCCGGTAGTCGACCCTGATCAGGAGGTCATTCTGGCCGCGTTTGGAGCCCCTGCCCTCCTTGATGCTCTTGCGGTACCAGTCGGTGGTCGGGTCCGCACCTGCGGCTGGGCCGTGCCACACCACGTCAGTGAGAGGCGGCGCTGCCGGCGGGGCCAGCTTGTCAAGCTTAGCCTCGCCAAGCGTCTTGCGCCTCGGGCAGGGGCAGCACGCCAGCACCAAGCCGCGCGTCCAGGCCGCCCAACTACACGGTGCGAAGAGCGTCCTCAGGCTGTGGGCAAGGAGCGCGACCACGCCGGTGCCGGAGAAGATCGCCATGAGCCCGGCGACCAATGGCCACGCCGAGCCGAACAGGTAGAGGCCCACCTGGTCGGCCATGTACAGCACCCAGCCGCCGTCGGAGCTCAGCCAGCCTCCTGCCTCGCGAGTCGAGAAGGCAGACCTGAAGCTTCCCACAACCCTGAAGGTGCCCCCGCCCATCCCGTCGGCAAACCAGCGCGTGCGGTTGCCGATGTTTTTCCAACTAATGCCGAAAAGACCCCAACCCCGGATCCAGGACGAAGGGTCCCTGTCGGGGGGGTCGGGGGTGGTGTGGGTCGGGCCCTGGGGAGGTGGGTCAGCCGGAGGCGCGGAGCGCCCGCGCGGCGGCCCCCCTCCCTCGCTCCTCGCCGGAGCGGCACGTGCGCTGGTGGAGTGCACTTCGTCCGGCAGCGTGTCCACATGCGTGGCGGAATCAATGGGCCCGTCGAGCCAGAACCCCTTCATGTCCACGCTCGCCTCGTCGTCGTAGTAGGCCTCGAAGTCGGGGCCTGCCAGCTCCGGCACGAGCTCGGCGCTGGCTGTCCCCATCATCCCCGCGAGGACCACGAGCAGAGCTGCAACCCAGCCGCGGCGCCCGCCGGTGAGTGGCGGCGCCGGGGCCTCGGGGCAGCCCCTCCAGGCGGGCCCCGGCGCACGCATGCGCTTCGCCGCCCTCGCTGGCCATGAGCGGGCGCCGGCGCTGACGTGCGCCTGGCCGCCCGCTCGGCGGCGGCGGGGGGCTGCCATGCCACGGCGCCCACCCCCTCGCCCCCGGGTGCTCCGCGGCTGGCGTTAGCCGGCGCCGCTCGGCGCCCGGGCCCTCCGCCGCTGCGTAGCTGCGCGCCCTCGGGCAGCGGTACCGCCGCCCCCCGGCCGCGCGGCGCCAGGCGCAGCCCCATTGGCCGCGGGCGCCCCCTTCGTGCCTGACCCTGGATCGAAGGTCTTCCGGCCCCGGTCTCGGGGCCCGGCCTTAGGCCACCTGAGGCCGACCCCCAGCTTGGCCTCAAAAGGCTTGAGCCGCCGAACGGCGGTGGGAAAGGAGGGGGAGAGAGGGCAAGCAAGAGGCAAGGGCAGGAACGAGGGGACCAAGGGAGAAAGCCCGCGCCAGTCCTGGAAACGGGGAAATCCATCAGTTTTACCAAACATCCTAAACCCAAAAGGGCACGCCGACGCAACAACGGCGCAACAGCCGACCGAACCGATGTTGCTGAACGCGACGCATCCGATACATCGAACCACACGCACTCTTGAAGACTCCAATGCTCCTCCTCCTCCTCCTTCTCCTGTCAACTGGTTGTCCTCCAATGAAGCATCCCGCAATGAACAGAAATTCTTGTAGGGACCTATGAAGAAGGAACTTGGGGGGAGGGTTTGTTCCAACATCGGTGACGCGCCTTGGGTTTACACTGGTCCTTCTCCTCCTCCTCCTCCTCCCTGGCTGACGCGCTGACACAAGGTTTCGCTTCGCGAACGGTCCTAGCCTATCCTGCCTCCGGTTCACACGAGGAAGTCCATCAGGCTGGGCTCCCGCGTCGCGGAGCCCCCACCTTCCTCCCCGAACCTTTACATCAGCCGATATGATTTTTTCAGTGCGTGGCCCCACAGGTCCCGACCCCTTCCCCAGAGAGGAAGAAACAACAGCTGCATAACCAGAAACCTTCAGGGCTCCGCACGGATTTCTTGGATCGGCGCTGTGCCCCCTGACGGCGGGTCTGGCGCCGCCCCTGGCGCGCTTCGCGCGCCAGAGAGAGGGGCCCAGCGCCGATCCAAGAAATCCGAGCGGAGCTCGAACATGTTATGTCTACACACTTTGTTCTTCTTTTTCGATTCATGGAGTCTATCTTGTAACCCTGGGTCCACTTTTGATGGCCCCAAGGCTGGACAACGGGCCCTGGAGGCCGGAGAATGAAAGACCAAACGCCCAGTTTGGAAGAAATCACATCGCTGGAGATCCGGGAACATGCTCCTCGTGAAGCGCAGCATGTCCCCGAGGGCCAACTCCCCCGGCCTCGAGGGTCAACGGTTGGGGGGGGGGCCGGCTCACGGGGGGAAGCATCGACCTGGAATCGGCGATAGATCGCCGACAGATCGGCGATATGCCCCCGAAAGCGAAACCGCACGGTCCTGGGCGGGGTGGGCTATCGGGCCCCTATCGGCGATGAATGGGGGATTGGGGGTCGATGCTCTCCGAGACATCCGACGTCTTGTTCTTCTCAATGCGGGGTCCCCGCATGTCCTGACCTTTTTCCCCTGGGCGGGTTTTCATCCAGCGAATCGATTTTTGACTGTCCCATGGCCAGGCGTGGGCCCCCGAAGACCGCAAACGGCCAAGAACCTACCGTCGCTTTTTTTTTTCACGACGCGCGGGTGTCTGGGCGCCCCCCTGAGCCTATTCCCCCCTGACGTTGCCCCTGCTTCGATTAGGAGATCGACTACGTAATTGATTTACCCGATTCTTGTCGTCGACTCTATGACAAACCCGTTGAATTGTGACATAGATCTACGGAACGTTCTTCTTAGAGTCGACGAAGAAACCATCTTGGGGTACATCAACTCTGCACTCGATCCCCTACTCGAGCGTTGCCCCTGCTGGTGAGGGGCAGCGATCGGGGAGGGGGCTGGCATCGGGGGGGCTGTATCGACCTGGAATCGGCGATGCATCGCCGATAGTTCGGCGATAGACCGCAAGTCCGCACCTTCCTCGGCGGGGCGAGGATATCAGACCCCTATCGGCGATCAGCGGGCGATTGGGGGTCGATGCGTCCCCACCTGTTCCTTCCTATCCCTCCCCTATCGTTGCCCCTGAGCTGGCCTCTTCCACAGCGTGAGCCTCGCCTCGCCGGTCAGCAGCCCGGGCACCTGGGCGTCCTGCTCCTCCGTGAAGCCGCCGTCCGCGCAGCGGCCCTCCTGGAAGCCCGCGGCCGCCACTGCAAGGTCGGCGTACCTCGGGCTGTCGACGTGGCTCTACAGCAGACGCGTACGATGAGGCCAGAGATCCGAGGCTCCGAAACAAGATGGGAACGGTCGCCGATTTTTGGTATTGTTGGTTGTCGTTTTTGGTTTGAAAAATATTACTATCATTATTATTATTATTATTATTATTATTATTATTATTATCATTTTATAATAATGTTTGGTTGCAAGAGGGTTCTCAACAGGCCCCAGGACTATCACAAAACGACTCAGGATGAAAAGCTTGCTCTGGGAAAGCTGTCCAGACCTGCAAGGGTCCACGCACCGAAAAGATTTGAGCGCCGGATGCCTGGGAATCTTGAGGCGCACTCTTCGTCGATCTTTGAATGTCCCCGGGTGCCCCAGAGCTTCTGTTGGTCCCTCAGAGCCATCGGGGGATGAGAAACTTCCTCCGTCGGGTTGGTGATGGGGGGTCACCTGAATGGGGGGTGAGCAAAGGGGCCCCAAGTGGGGCCCTTTAGGGCCCCTGCTGGCTCCAAAAGGAGCCCTCAAGGGCTCCGTTAGGACCTTTTCTTCACCTAAGACGAAGTCTGGACGAGGCCAACTTGGGTGAGGATGAATCGTGAATCTCTGAGATAGTGGCCCTGGAGAATGTCTCGGGCGCCGCGGCCTTCTCAGAGCGTTTCGGAACGCTCTTAGATCGTTCTGGAACGCTCTGGAACGGATTTACCCTCGCCCTAGCCCCGCCCGATCACTCCCCATAGAGGTCACCCTCCCCTACCACCCGCCCGAGACGGGCACCTGCGCCCGTGATTGACACCAAAATTGATTTCCTCGTCGAACCTGCAGAACAACGTAGCATTCTGCATGGATTCGACGAACATCATAAATTGTATGGCAAATATATTATGTGGTCGATCCCCTGCTCGACTGGCGTGCCTGCTGCAGGAAGGGAGCCAGCGGTGCACCCCTGCACCGATCTCCTGGGCGGGCCGATTCTGGGACCCTGGGCTCGGTGCACACGGCCCTCGGCGGCGACGATAAGGGCGAATAGCCCAGGGGCGGGCATTACACGTATTCGCCCAGGAGCCTTGTCGAAGACATAGATCATCGGCGCCCCTGGATACATGTGTTGCTCTCCCCTGGGCTATTCGCCCCTTTCGTCGCCTCTGAGGCCCTCGTGCCGCCATCAGGATTGCTGAATGCGGCGGGCCTTTCGCTTCGACGGGGCCGTCGCTTGGCAGCTTGTCTGGCCACGGCAGGCCTTTCGCTTCGAAAGGGCTTCTCCGGCCACGGCAAGCCTTCGCGTCGACAGGCAGCTCCCCGGCCTAGATCTGGGGAGAGGATCGTCGTCGTCGCCGTCGCCGTCGTCGTCGTCTTCGTCGTCGTCGTCGTCGTCGTCGTCGTCGTCGTCGTCGTCGTCGTCCAGGGTCGGCGGCACCGGCCAGAAGGCCTCTCCAATAGTGAACGAAGGAGCTCGTCTGGCCAAGGCGGGCTTTCGCTTCGACTCGGAGCCCCCCGGCCTAGCCCTAGATCTGGAGAGCGGCCCGAAAACCAGAGCCCCTCCTGAGCCCGAACAGGTGCCCATTTCAGCGTCTTGACTGTGCACCCTCCGCCCTTGACCAGGAACATGTTTTTGTACATGTATTTGTATGTGTTTATGTATAGATATATGTATATTATGTATATGTAAGGTGTCTGTATTTGTGTACGTTTGTACATGTAGATGTATACGTATATGTATATGAATATGTTTATGTATGGTTTCCATCTACACGCCTACACATACATGACTATATATATGTATATATATATATATATATATATGCACATGCCTGCCTGCCTGCCTGCCTGCCTGCATGCATGAGTACATATATGTATATGTGTATGCATGTGTACAGGTATATTCATGTATATATATACATATATATATGTCAGTGCATACGTGTTTGTACACATATGTACGTCTATATATGTACGTTTGTGATTATGCACATGTTTCCATATTCACACACACAACTATGCGTGCATGCATGCATGCATGTATGTAAATGTGTACGGGTCTATGTATGTGTAGGTATGTGTATGTGTATGTGTGTACGTGTATGTGTATGTGTGCATGTATGTATGTGTGTCTGCCTGTCTTTCTGTCTTTCTGTCTGTCTGTCTGTCTGTCTGTCTGTATGTATGTATGTATGTATGCAAGTATGTGTGTATATATATATATGTGTATATCTATATATATATATATATATATATATATATATATATATATATATAATAAGGGAGCGTGATCCACCGCCGCTTTACTGTAGAAGATTTCCCCCCCTCTTCCTCCGGAACCCGGGGGTCCCCCGGCCCCCCTTTCGAAAATCCCCCCCCCCCCCCCCCTGCTGGACCCCCCCCCTCCCCGGCAAAACCCCTCCGGGGGGTCACTACCGGTTCGGACCCCCCTCCCCCCCCTGACCCCTCCCCCTCCAGAAAACCTGGGGGCTCACTGCCGGTTCTGACCCCCCCCCCTCCACCTCCTCCAGAAAACCCGGGGGGGTCACTACTGGTTCGAACCCCCCCCCTCCTGAAAATCGGGGGCCACTACCGGTTCGTTCGAACCCCCCCCTACTTGTTCCCTCCAGAAAACCGGGGAGGGTCACTACCGGTGTCCCCGCCACCACTGTCCCCACCACTGTCCCCAAAACTGTCCCCACCACTGTTCCACTTGTTCCTGAACCACAACACTTGTTGCATCTCTCGGAGGAAGAATTTTGCCTGCGCCGCCTTCCACCGGCTGGACGCCCTTGCTTTTTAATTCCTTCTTGGTCGCACCGCCTCCTGCTGCGCCAGGCTTGGGAAATGTCGTGAAGGGCTAAAAATTTACCGCAATCGCGTCGCCATCGTATCTGTACAGTAATCGATGTGAGAGCCCAGAGAGGCGCGAGGCGGACGACAACTTGCACTACAAGATCAATCAGCATCGAATCGGGAGATGCGCGTCGGATCCGGCTGCATCGGCACGGAATCGACATCGAATCGGATCGGCCGCACAAAGATGCAGAACAGCACCGTGCAAACATCGGGCCCGCATCGGATCGTCGGAATATCGAAATCGCCTCGGATCGAAATGACCGAATCTGGTACCGAATCGGATCGATCGGATCGAAATGAACCCTGCACTGTAAGATGCTTGAAGAAAAGCCCGACGTCCTGCCCCCGCGCACCCTCGCCCCTGCGAGAGTGCCGGGGAGGCGTAAGACTCGGGTTCGGGGTGCTCGGGTTTGCCTGACGGGGCCACCATGAAAACGACGAGACCCAATCTGAAATTTGACGCGAACTCCCGCTGCAAACATCTCACGAAACCTGAACCGTCAAAATCCAACACGCGCTCGTCAAAAAGCGTCGTCAAACCCGAGTTCCGGCGTGCTCGAGCCTTACCTCTCCCCGAGAGTGGCACAGAGGCCAACCTCTCGATCCCTCGAACGCCAAGCCCCTACCCGCACCGCCCCTGTGTCATCCGTGCCCCCCCCGCTCCTATACTCTTGCCTTCCGACTTTCCGAGACTCGGGGGGGGTTGGGCGGGGTGGCGCGGGGCTCACGAGCCCCCCCCCCTGGGAGAGCCAGTTCGCGCGGACCTCAGACAAATTGTGCTCTTGCCCTGTTGTTGTTGTTGAACATTATTAATTCTAAAGAATAATTATTGTTGGGACCCCTGGTGCACGGCCCCCCTGCGCCGCCTAGGCCGCAGCTACATTTTCATCATTTTCGTGAGGAAGCCTCAGGTAATACGATGTCATCAAGATCCGGTTGTTTTGTTGTAATCCGTTTTCCCTTGCAAAAAACACTATAAAATGACATTTCTTGTTCTAATATAATCAAATTTCAAGAATCCCTTGCAAAAAATAAGGTAAAGTGGACATTCGCGCGCGCAAGACGAAATCCTTCCAAAAGCTTAGTGTTCGGAGCGATTTTAACATAAAAACATCAAAAAACCAATGGTTTTTCAACAAAAAAATGTCAAAATCTCATCCCGCGCGCTCTTGCGGATTCGTAGGAAACCCAACACTTTTTAAACATTTCTGTCAAACGGGCTTTTGCGAGCAACTTTTTCGAACTTCTGCGACAACGGTTGCGCACCTGCCAGGGCCATCATCCCTGTCAAATAATACCATGCGGGACACATTCGTTTTTTCTTCGCGCGCGCACGCCGTCGTCGTCGGCCGCGGGGCCCTGAATAGTAGCCACGGTCGTCCGCATGCCACGAAGTGAAGTGTCCGAACGTCATAGGGCGGGAAGCTGGGTGTGGGTGGTGGCGAAGAGTCGTTTGGAAATTTGGTAGAGCTTGAACCGGCCCCCCCACAAAGTGGGGGTATTGCCCGCCTCCTATGAAAACCCTGGCACTGGTGAGAACGGAGTGTCCCCACGTGCTAGTAATTGTTGTTGTTGTTGTTGTTGTTGTTGTTGTTGTTGTTGTTGTTGTTGTTGTTGTTTTCGGATCATGTCGATACCCCTCCCCCCCTCGACCGCAGAGGGGGCCAACGACGTCTGCTGCCCCTGGACTCGCACTGGAGCTTCCACAACTCCCTTGCCATTGCTCGGACGTCCATTCCCCGTGCATTTTTGGTTTCGTGCGTGTTTTAAATTCGCAGGATGATCCAATATGCTCCTCAATAATCCCCGCCGCGTAAAAATTCACAAGGCCGAGCGATGCCAAGCTCCTCCAGACTTGTCTGGAGATTTACCTGGATCCACACCGAACTGGGCAGATGTGCCCGGATCTACCCAGCTCGATCCCCGAAGCTCGAATGGAGAAGAGCCGAATCAGGCTGCATCGGCACGGCGTCGCAACCGAATCAGATCGGCTGCGCCAAGATGCACCACAGAGCTGTCCAGGCATCTGGCCGCACCGGATCGTCGGCAGATCGGAACCCGACCGGTCGGATCGAAATGGTCCCTGGAGGGGTGATAAGGGGGCAGCAACGGTGGCCAGGACACAAGCCACCCACACAGGCGCCGCTCGGACTCCTCCATCGCTCCCGACCCCTTCACGGGGGGCAGCTCTGCGTCCCGGCTCCGTTTCTCGTAGTCGCGGGGCCCGGAGACGGGCCCCGGAGGCCGAGCTCGAGGAGCAGCTCCGGGCCGGAACAGGTCCGACCCTCGGAGCTCTGGGCTTCCGCGGGCACCTGCGCGCGGCGGTGGCCTGGAAGCACTCGGCGCCTTCGGAGCGGTAGATTGTGGTCCAGCCCTCGTCCGCCTCCGCCGGCTTCGCGCCCCACGCGTACACGTCCGCCTGGACGCCCGGGCCCTCGCGGCGAGGGGGCGCACACAGACACCGCCGCACCGATCCCAGCCTGGCCCAGCCCGTCCTGGGCCCGGGATCGGCGTAGACCCAAATCTCCGATGACCTGCTTTTTTTCAATCCGGGCGTTCTCCTTCCATCGGGCCCTGGGACGAGCGAAGATGGACCCGGGACGACAGGGGTCTGGAATTCTGGGGCCGCGGATTGAAAAACTCGCATCGGCGGATGTAAGAGTACGCCATTCTGGCATGTCTTTGGGGGGGGGTGTATGCACCGATCATGGGCCCGAGATGGGCCCCGCCAGGATCGCTGAGATGGCCCGTCGACGTCCCCCGATCGTGGGGGGGAGTCAAGGCGATGCCACCGACACCGCTGCCCGCCAGGCCCCTCATGGAGGCCCGCCCTGTCCAGCAGGAGTGCGGAGGCGGACCCCTGGCCGCGACGGCGAGGGCCCCTCCGCCCTCCCAGGAGGCCCCCAACCAAGGCGAGGCGAGCTGCGGTCGGGAACTTTGGCTTAGCGAGTCGCGGCGGCGGCCACGGCGACACGCCGTGCCCTGCGAGCGGATAGCGTGTCGCTCCGCTACGTGGGGCGGGCGGCGAGGACAAGCTCCAGACGTTGACGCTGGGGGACTGGAACGTGGATCGCGTGTCGCGCCGAAGCGTGGTGGTCCAGAACGGGCGGCGCGACACGCTGAGCCAAAGTTCCCGATTGTAGGGTGCATCGGCACGCATCATTGTCCTTTGACCTTGGCCACGGTCTCGTTGTAGATCTCGTAGCCGAGGCTCGCGCACACGGCGCCGCTCTCGGCTTCTACGAGGCTCGGCGCGAAGAACCTGGCCACGAGGGCGGCCTGCGGCGTCATGCAGACTTCGCTGCACAGCCGCTTCTCGTCGTTGATCTCGTAACCCGCCACCGTGCCGTAGGCACTGGGTGCAGTGCCCTGACCTCCCTTGGAATCCTCGATATCCCGAGCCGTGTAGAGAGGGCCTCAGACCCCGAACTCACGAGACCCTCGGGCGCTTCGGGAGCTCGGCGCGCGTGACTTGCGCCGAAGGCCTGGGCGCGCGTCCTCTGTGAGGGTCCCCCCCAGGATGCCTCAAGAGGATCCAAACAAGCCCTCATGAGGCCTCGAGGAGCCCCTGGGGAAGCCTCCGAAGAGTGCCCTGTGATGGTCCCCCAGGACGGCTCAAGCGAATCCAAGCAAACCCTCGTGAGGCCTCGAGGAGCCCCCCCGGAAAGCCTCCGAAGAGACCTCGGGAGGCCTCTTAAGCTCTGAGAGGCCTCTGGTCCACTACACGAGCACAGCCGCGGGATGGGCCGAAGGCCACCAAATCTGCCGCCGCTCAGATTTGTGGCTCTTCCGAAGGGTATCGAAGACGCCTACGGCGAATCACCGCCGCCCCCTGCCTTTTTGGAAGCGCCTATGTGGCCGAACGTTGAGGCCAGACCTGCCAAGCTATCGGCCCACGTGTTCCCCGAATCGGTTTGGAAAGCCTTCGGGGAACACGTGGGCATCTTGAAGGTCATCTTGGCCGTCTTGGAGGCCTCTTGGGCAAGCTTTGGGCGATCTTTGGGGCTTTTTGGGCCGTCTCGGGCCAGCTTCGAGCCAACTTCGGCCATCTTGGTGGGTTCCTGGCACGTCTGAAGCCGTCGGAAGCCGTTTGGGGGGCCTCTATGGGCCGACTTGGGGCCCGCTTGTTCGGCTCCAGGGCCGTCTTGGAGGCCATCTTGGGCGTCTTGGAGGCCATCTTGGGCGTGTTGGAGGCCTCTTGGGCCCTCTTGGGGCCCTCGAGGGGCCATCTTGGAGGCCACTTGGGCCATCATGGGGCTCTCTTGGGGGCCTCTTGGGCGATCTTGGGGGCTTCTTGGGCCGTCTTGAGCCGTCGGAGAGCCGAAAAGGCGCAAATGCCAAAATCCTTCAAAAACCAAGGGAAAATCAATGATTTTGGCCTCTTCGGACTCTCCTGGAGGACCTCTTGGAGGCCTCTTGGGCCGTCTGGGAGGCCTCTGGGGGGCCTCTTGGGCCGTCTTGGGCCGTCTTGGACTCTCTTGGGCCGTTTTGGAGGCCGTCTTGGACCATCTCGGGCGGACTTGGAGGCCATCTTGGGCCATCTTCGCGATTTTTTGAGGATGTCCCGAGCGAAACGGCCGTTTTTGGGCATTGACAAACGGATTTTCGGAAATTTGCGCGTGGCCGGCGGGACGGGCCGAAGCCCACTGGGGAGTTCTTTTAGAAAAAGAACCAAAACCAAAACCTGAAACATCCAGCACGCCGTGCACCCCTGCAAGCAGGGGGCGGCGGATTCTTAGCGGTCTTCGGCCCGACCCGCCAGTCGCCAGGAACGCTCGCGAAGCCTCATGAGGGTGCACGACGCCCGCTTCTCTGACGTCCCAGATGGCACAAGATGGCTTGCAATGTGGCCCACGACGTCCCAGATGGCCTCCAAGACGCTTCTTATGGTACCAAGATGGCCCCAACAGAGTCTAAGAGACTCTTGGGGGTCCCCAGGGTCGTCTTGGGGGCCCTCGGGGTCTGCAATAGAGACCAGCTTCATTGAAAAACCAATGCCGTTTTGACATGATTCGGATTCTCATCTCTTCGGTCTTCAGAGCGTCCAAGACGGCCCACGATGCCTCTGCGACAAACTGAAACAAGCACAACGAGGACCGCAATACGGCCAACGTGAACGCCGAGAAGGCCAAATAGGGCCCCAAGACGGCCCTGAATTGCCCCAGGACGGCCCATGGTCTCCAAAGACGGCCTCCGAAGGCGTCAGATGGCCCAAGAGCGCCATACAGGGAGACAGCCCCAGAAAGCCCCAATATGGCCCAAGAGAGCTCCAGGAGACCCGCAAGACGGCCCCACAAACCATAACATATTCCCAAGATAGCCCCGATACGGCCATTCCCTAGTTTTCCTCCAGTGGTTTACCCAACTGCTGGGGGGGCATGCAGTCCACTGCCTTGGCCGCACTTTCGCATGACATTTCGCAACAAGCATTTCCTAAAGGCGGGGGGCGGGGCTGACTTGCCGTAGGCATCCTTGATACTTTGATCTTCCCTCCTCGCAGGTCTTGCAGCACACGGGCAACCTTGGAGGAGCAACCAGCGGCAGAAACATAAACTTTGGAAGGTCCCCGCGGACTTCTTCTTGGGTCGGTGCTGGACCTCAGCTGTCGGCGCCTCCGGCGCCGCCTCTGGCGCGCCCTTGGCTCCAAGGAAGGAGGTCCAGCACCGATCTAAGAAACACGCGCGGACCTCCGACAGTTTACAGTCGAGCTGCTACCACAAGGAATGCCAAGCAAGGAGCGTAGCCCCTGCTTGCCCCCCAGAAGCGCCCAGGTGCACGATGAGAGCTGGAGGCGCAGCTACGGACGGACCCGGGGAGCAGCGGGCCCTTCCGAACCCGACGGCTCAGCGTCTCGACCGTTTGTGTGCGTGCATTGTTCTTGTTGCTCAGAGCCTCTCGGTGGGCAGGCCCATCGCCCGGGCGAGGGCCTGGCTCAAGGCGCCCTTGCCCGCCTTCTTCAGGCCGGCCAGGGGGTCCGCCTTCTTTGCAGGAAGCGACGACGACATAAAGCATAAGCTTTGGGTGCTCCGCGCGGACCTCATGGATCGGCGCTGGGCCCCCTCCCTGGTGCGCGGAGCGCACCAGGGGCGGCGCCGGAGGCGCCGCCAGCAGCGGCGATTCGAGAAATCCGCTTGGGGCTCGGAAAGTTTTGTTTTTCTTCTTCGAACCTTCTTGTAGAGCGTCACGTTGACGTGCCCGCCGATGATTGGCACAACGGCGCTGCGGCTGCCCGTCGGCTCCTCGTAGCCATGGGCGCCGCAATGGCCCTCCGCCATCTGGAGCCACTTCTCCGCTGCCTCCTTCAGCCGCGCATCTATCGTGAACTGACCTGGAGGAATAAGAAGCACACTGCGCAAGCATAGGCTCTCGGAGGCCGGCGCGATCGTCTTGGATCGGCGCTCGACGCCCCTCCCCCTGGCGGCGTCTGCTGCGCCGCACCTGGCGCGCGGAGCGCGGCAAGGAGGGGGACCTAGCACCGATCGGAGAAGTCCGCGCGGACCTCCGAGAAATATGATGTTTTTTGTTTGTTTGTTTTTTTCTTCTCTTTCGGTGACCACACTCGTCGGGGCCCTGTGACACCTTGTACAGGGTCACGGTGGTGGCTGGCAACTCTGGCGCATTCGCCTGGCCGGCAGCCGCAACGAGCGGCGCGAGGGACCAGGCGGCAAGCAGCCGCATGACTGCGGGCTCTCTTCCCGTCTACTTCCGGCGCGAGACCGGGGCAGCAGCAGCGAGCGCCCTCGAGCCAGCAGGCCGCCATCGAGCTCATGGTCAGGAACTTGTGCTTAGCGTGTCGCGGCGGCAGTCCTGGCGACACGCCATGCCTTGCAGGTGGATGGCGTGTGACGTTGACGCTCGTGGACTAGGACGTGGATCGAGTGTCGCGCCGAAGTGTGGCGGGCCAGAACTGGCGGCACGACACGCTCAGCTCAAATTCCTGACCTTGGTTCTGGGTTTCTGAGAAGGCAAGGGGCTACGCACAAACCTTCCGGGTTTCAAAGAAGCCTTCTTAGAAGTCTCGTGGCCCTTCCAAGAAGGCCACTGCTTTCTAAGAAGCCCCCCCCAGCGCCTTCTCAGAAGGCCGCCCCCCTCGCGCCACCCACCTTGTGCGCGCCACCAGGCTCCTCCTCCTCCTCCTCCTCCTCCTCCTCCACCTCCTCCTCCTCCTCCTCCTCCACCTCCTTGCCCTCTCCTCTCCCACCCCCTCATCCTCCTCCTCCTCCTCCTTCTCTTCCTCCTCCTCCTTCTCCTCCTCCTCTTCGTCCTCCCCGTCCTCGTCCTCCTCCTCCTCCTGCTCCTCCTCCTCCCTCCTCCTCCTCCTCCCCCCCCTCCTCCCTCCTCCTCCTCTCCTCCTCCTCCTCCTCCTCCTCCTCCTCCTTATCTCCGCCTCCTCCTCCTCCTCTTCCTCCTCATTCTTTTCCCCCCCTCTCCCTCTTACTCCTCCTTGTCCTTCTCGTCCTCCTCCTCACCCCCGTCCTCGCCCTTGTCCTCGGTTTGTTTCTCCTTGTCCTCCTCCTCCTGGCCCTCGTCCTCGTGCTCGTCCTCCTCCTCGTCGTCCTCCTACTCGTCCTCCTCCCCCTCTTCGCTCTCGTCCATGTCCTCGACCTCGCCCTCGTCCTCGTCCTCGTTTTCCTCCTCCTCGTCCTCCTCGCCCTCCTCGTCGTCCTCCTCCTCCTCCTCGTGGTCCTCCTCGTTTCTCGTTTCTTGTTTCACATCAGAAGTCGGGCGCCCAAGTAAGGGTTGGTTCTGAGGTCTTTCACGCGCTGGCTCTGACCATGTTTTCCTCGCGTGCCGCGTGAGCATACATATGTGAATGCGTGAATGAACACATCGGCGACTGGCTAAATGAATGTTTCCATACATACACACATCAATACACACGTACATACACACAACACTGATTACACACATCGGTACATCCACAAGCAAACAGACGGACAGTACATGTTGGAAACGAATTTCCTCATTTTCGCATGGAAGCATTTGAGTACGCATCATATCAACGGCAACTTCCATCAGTCACATGCAGCGTTGCACGCACGTCGAGCCGACGTGGGCCAGAAGATCGACTAACATTCTGCACCGCTTGGATCGCGCCTGGGCGGCGGCCCCATCCGCTCGGCGGCGGCCCATTCGCGCTCGAACCGCCTTGAGACTGTGCGACCCCCAATTTAATATTTTGAAGAACGAATGTCAGATGACTCTCGCAATCTGCACGACATAACATAAATTTACACACCAAACGCGTCCGATAGCGGTCTCAAACCGGTTTCAAACAATCTCAAAGGGTCTCAAAGTGCCCGGAATCCTAGGCGCCGAGCACATCCGCGAATCTCACACTGTCTCACCATGCTACGAAACCCTCGGCGCCGAACGCAGTGGCGCGTCTCAAAGGGTTCCGAATCGCCCCGAAACCCTCGGCACCGAGTACATCCGCGAGCCTCACATGGCCTCACGGTGCCACAAACTACGGGGCCCCCGCTGGCAATCTACTTGCCCCGTTCCGAAAAACAGAAAGGCGACGTGTGTCTGGACTCATTCCATCAATACTACTCATGGGTCGACCCCCCCCTCGGGAAGCAGGAATCACTCCGTCAATCAGCAAGAACACGTTCTGCTGAAAATCTCGGGAGAGTATGCTAACCATGTTTGGGAAGGTATCTGACCATGGCTGTGGCTGGGAAAAGGCTGTGACTGGCCCTGCGACTTTCCTGTCCAGACTCGTATCGCCAAACAAGAATACTATAACATTCAAAAACTTCCTGCGGATCGGCGGAATGGCGTGGAACCCATTGAATATCGAAACCAGTCGTGGCCACCGAAAGGGGAAAACACCATTCTGACGTGAGCGCGCAAGCATGCAAGGACGTCCGCACGAGACACGCCACCAACAAACCACGCGGGAGTTGGAACGCAGAGTGCATACTCCCCCGCGTGTGCATGTGTGTCTGCGTGCGTGCGTAATGGTTTGTGGTGCTCGTGCGTGCGTGGTTGGTGGTATGTGCGTGCGCGCGCATAAGGCGACACGCTGCAATGCGACCGCGTTCGATGCAACGCAATGCCATGCAATGGGACCGAAACGTCCGCACGCATTGGTCTAAATGTGGACATTGCGCTTCCGCGCAAGGCATTCAGTACCATTGCAATATCAATGGCGACGGCTCAAAGAACGTGGCCCCCAGGCGAGCGCGAAATCACTTTCCAAACATTTCTTCTCGGACTGTATACATACATGCGTGCATTTGTGAACAATCAGCGTTATTCATACGCGAAGGCATGAACAACTCAAGCCATACGTACATGCGTGCAAAGATATTAGCAACATTTTTTTAGCAAAGTTAATGATCGCATGTCTGACTACATATATACGTACATACTTGAAAGACACAATCAATACATTAATGAACACGTGCGTTACACACATACGCAATAATTCGACAAATCAATTAACAGGAATGAGTGCATGAATCATAAAACACTAGATTCGCCGACCCTGTCGGCGTGTGGGGTGTCTGTCTGGTCCCGTCGACGGAAAGCCTTCTTTCGTCCCCTCCTTCTCATTCTCCTCACCCGTCGGGGGGGGGAAAGAGAGAGAGAGAGAGAGAGAGAGAAAAAAAGAGAGAAAGAGAGAGAGAGAGAGAAACACCCTTCCTCGTTGGGGGAACGGGTTCGCAGCTTGAGGGAATTCCATCCACGTCCTCATTACGTCAAAAGGAAGCCCCTTCCCTTGTCCCTTCCCCGGCGGGGGGGGGTCCCGGTGGGAGAGGGGGGTTCAGATTCGCATCGCCTCTGGGGGTCCACCTCTCCCACGCTGGTCCTTTCCCGGCGTGCCGGCCTTCCTCGGGTCCTCCTCCCCAGGTGGGGGGTCCCAGGGGGGGGAGGGGAATCAGATAAGCATCCGTCCCTGGGGGTCCTCCTCTCCATCCCCTCCCCTCTCCCACGCTGGTCCTCCTCCGGTCCTCCTCCGGTCCTCGTCCCCAGATTGGGGGGGTCCCAGGGGGGAGTCCTTTTCCTCCTCCTTCTCCTCCTTGTCCTCCTTGTCCTCCTCCTCCTCCTCTTTATCTCCGCCTCCTCCTCCCTCCTCCTCCTTCTCCTCCTCCTGCCCCTCCTGGTCGACGTCGATGTCTTTCAGGATCGGCGGCGCCGGCCGTCAGGCCTTCACAATAACTGAACACGCTGCCGCCTGTATGCTTTCAAATAAGTGCGCACCCGCGCATAGGAAACGTATGCCCAAATCCGCAGAACAAGTAAATGGGTGGCCGGTGACGCTGACTGGCTGGTTGGCAAGGCATCGCCCTGACACCCGTCCCCACGCAGCGACAACCGACCCCCAGCAGCTACTGTTCCACCTCTGACCCCTACCCAGCAGCAGCACCCACAGATAAACCTCCCCCACTTCGCAAAAAAAAGCGCCTTGCGCCCCATGCTGCTCAGCAGGGCACGCCCCACACATTGCACGTGCGCGGCCCCATGGCCTGGCCGGAGCAACGCCCTCATCAGCTCCACCTGCGACCCGCGCGGTATCGCGCTGACAACCGTTTCCAGCTCGCAGAACAACGTGAGGGCGCCCTCACACGCGCACAAGGCATGGGAGACGGCTGCCCGCTCGCTCTCGCAAGCCATGCACCTCTCCAGCTCCCACGGCATGTCGGCCCCCCAACCACCTGCAGAGGCCAGCGGCCTGTGAAGCGGCACGCCGCCCACATGCGGTACACAAGGTGGGCGACCTCTATGGCCAACTCTGCCCGCGACTGCGGCTGCGTGACCGGCTGGAGCTCGCGGAACGTCACGCCCAGCGACGGGATGCACCTGTCCGCGGCCGAGTCGAAAGCAACACGGTCGTATAACCGCAACGCCGGCCGCACCACCCTCCATCGATACCGCCCCAGCACCGCCTTGCGCTCGTCGGCGGATGCGGCGGCGGCCTCCGCAGCCCCCATCAGCTCCTCCACCTCCAAAGTGTCTGGCAGTCGGCCCCCGGCAGGTCGGCCATCCGCTGGCCCACCAACTGCCACCACGTGTGCGCGGTCGAGCTCCGCGCAGCTTCCCGCAGGAGCGTTGCCGGGTACCCTTGCGGCAGGACCCACAATCGCAAGCGCGCCACGAACGCCTGTTCCAACATGCGTGTCCCGAGGCGGAGCTCCCAACCGCACTGCGCCTGGCACAGCGCCCACTTCAGCCTAAGACCCCCCTACAACCTAAAATAATTCGCGCCCAGTGGTACTGGAGCGGGTTGAGGTCAGTCTCAATGCCCTCGACTCCTACCAACGTAGCTGCGCCATGCAACACACCCGGCTCCACGCGCAGCGGGACCTGCGCGGCCACGACAAGGGGTGGGGACCCCCCTGCATCGCACGCTTGGAAGAACTCCTCAAACGCCGCCCTGCTTTTAGCCAGCACCTCCCACGAGTACGCCACGAACGTGAGGTCGGAGTCCACATTGATCCCCACGAACGCGAGGCAAAATCACCTCGTGGACCCCCTGGCCCTCTGTGTGGAGCGCCGGGCTCCCACTGATTGCCATGCACTCTGACTTGCCTGGCCCGAAATTGAAGGCCGCCTTCTCCCAGAGGGCGTACCGCACGGGTGCGGACCGCCTTGACTGGTTCAGAACTGCCATGATCCCGCCCGCGGACGGGCAAGGCATCACGGCGTCTTCAATGTACTGTAGCGGGCCCAGCTCGTGCGTACCGCCGAGCTCAACCAAGGCCGCCTGGTCCGCTGGGCACGATAAGGTAGCAAACTGCGTCACGGCCTCGCACTTCGACCGCCCCGCGGCTGCGACGTCGATGCGCGTCCGCAGGTCGGCCTCCCGCGCCGGAGGGCCATTCAACGACTGCGCCGCGCAGACCTGCTGAGCTTCCACGAGCGCGTCCCGTGCCCACTCTGGCAGACACGCCCTGCACCCTACAAGAACGGCCTCCGTCAAGTCGTCCTTCAAGGACCGCAGCAGCGCGTTAAACGCCGGAACGCTGAAACTGCGCCCCTGGGCGGTGCCGCAGGCGAGCACGAACACCTCCGACAGCAAGCCGTGGAGTGCCAAGACCTGCGTGTCCTGCGCCAGGATGTCGTCGAGAAGTAACCAATCCCGCCCGCTCACACCCGCCCTACGCACGTGCAGGAGCATGCCAGCGCCCTCGTCCTCCTCGTTCTTGTCCTGATCCTCGTTCTCGTCTTCGCCCTCGTCCTCCTCTTCGTCGTCCTCCTCCTCTTCCTCCACTCCTCGTCCTCGTCCTCGCCCTCCTCGTCCTCGTCCTCCTCCTCGTCGTCCTCCCCTCCTCCTCTTCCTCCTCTCCTCGTGGTCGTCCTCGCCCTCGTCCCTGCACTCGTTCTCGTTCTCCTGCCTGTCCTCGTCCTCATCCGCCGACGGGCCTGGAGCGCGCGAGCAGCCGCAGGAAGAGGGCGGCCTCCTCCGGAGAGCTCGCCTTGCGAGCGGGCGGGCCCCCCTGAGATCTGGATGTGGTGGTGGCACCCGCTGGGGGAGCCTATGTGAGTCCTGAGGGTGTCCCGACGAGCAGAACTACCTGGACTCCTGGCTCGCGCTGTCTGCGGCCGTCTGCCACGCTCTGACCAGAACACCACCCAAACCGACCGCTGATCCAGCACACACTCGCATGAGCACTGGCACGCGTAGCTGAACTCCAACATATCGAGGCTACATCGGCTGGAGGGGGGGGAGGAGTACGAGGAAAAGCTGGATAAGAAGGAGGAGGACGCTCCAGATGAGGAGTCCCCACCAGACCTTCCCTCGTTGCGAACGACTGACGACGGTAGGCCTTATCTGATGTTCTCGCACATGCCCATCCGCTTTCTAGCCTCTGGGTGCTTTCCAGCAGCTGTGCCTCGCCGAGGACCTTCCGAGGATGCCCGAATCGTCCCCCCGCCAGAGACCTGAGTTATGACTCGAAGGCCAGACCACTCCTGGCTGTGCAAGAATCACGAAGAACTTGTTCTGTTGTGAACTTTCTGTCTCTGGGAGGCCCTCGCTGGACCCCAGGCGGTCAAAACACGGCTCGGGATGAGAAGCCGGTCCTGGAGAGAGTGCCCACACCTATGGCCTTCGGGGGGCCCCCGTCGTGAAAAAAAACACAACGTCGGAGGTCTGGGGAGGACGGCGACGATGGGGATCCAGGCCTTTGAAGTGGGGTCCGAGTGGATGGGGATCGGGGGATCGCGCTTCATCGGCGATGCATCGGCGATGAGGCTCGATTTGCAGCCCGATTTTCTCCACGCCGATGTCGCCGATGCACCGCCGACTTTGCCGGTGCGGCACGATCCTCCGACCCGATCTGCTCGGACCACATGTGGGAGGCCTCTGACGTAGGATGAGGAGGATGGAGGAGGAGGAGGAGGAGGAGGAGGAGGAGGAGGAGGAGGAGGAGGAGGAGGAGGAGGAGGAGGAGGAGGAGGAGGAGGAGGAGGAGGAGGAGGAGGAGGAGGAGGAGGAGGAGGAGGAGGAGGAGGAGGAGGAGGAGGAGGAGGAGGAGGAGGACCAGTGTACACCAAATAATCATCAACGATGTTGGAACACACCTTCGCTCCAAGCTTTCTCTTCATAGGCCCCTACAATCTACAACGGGTCATTTCCACTGAGGGAACTGCCTCGTTGGAAGACATCCGCTTGAAGACCCTGAAGCATGCCAAAACATTGTTCTCGGGATTCCAACGCCACGGGTCAACTTGAGTGTTGCGTCTTGACGATCCTTACTCGTGCCCAAACGCCATTCCTGTAACTTCAGCAATGTAAATGTTGCACCCTCACAATCTGGAATCCTTTTAAAACACAGTTCTTGTACGCTGATCATGAACATCCGTGAACCTGTTGCAGATGTTAGAAACAAATGCGCGCGGTGTCAAAGCGAACGCGCACTTTTGAAAAAGAAAAGCCCTCAATCCGTGAAGCTGTTGCAGATGTTTATATAAAACATATGTGCGCGGTGCTAAAGCGAAAATCACCGTTTGAATACCGGCCGCCCTCAATCCGTGCAACTCTGGAAAATTTCCAAAACAAATGTCGCGGCGCTAAGGCGAGAACCCTATTTTGAAAACCAGTCGCCCTCAATCCGTAAAGCTGTTGCAAATGTTTAAAGCGAATGTGCGCGGTGATAAGGCGAGAGTCACATTTTGAAAACGACCCGCCCTCCATCTGTGAAGCTGTTGCCATTTTAAGCTTCAGGGTCATTCATTGTGAGGAAGTCTGAAGCAAAACGCCCGGCCCGCACTAAAAACTGGCCTCGGGGTGCGACAGGGAGAACTTATGTATAAGGACAAGTACTGGAGTAATAAGAGGGGGAGGAGGGGGATGAGGAGGAGGAGGAGGAGGAGGAGGAGGAACAGGAAGAGGAGGAGGAGGAGGAGGAGGAGGAGGAGGAGGAGGAGGAGGAGGAGGAGGAGGAGGAGCAGGAGCAGGAGGAGCAGGAGGAGGAGGAGGAGGAGGAGGATGAGGAGCAGGAGGAGCAGGAGAAGGAGGAGGAGGAGGGGGCCATTTTGGGCAATTTTTCTGTTCGGCCCCCTGGCGCCCTGCCCGCGGACTAAACCAGGTGCCGTCGAAGCGGCGGTCACGCCGCGCCACCGTCGCCGAAGGGCGACTCCCAGCCTGCCGCCACGCGCGCCCGCGCCCAGCAAGCCGCGGCGGCGGGCGAGGCGAAGCCGTGGAGCGCGGCCGCCTGCCAGGCATCCGCCACGGCGGGCCGCAGCCCCCAGCGCGGCGGCCGCCCAGCCCCAGCGGGGGCCCCATCGCCGCCTGCCACGCCAGCGCCGCCGTGGAGCACCGCCGCGAGCCTCGCCTGCTCCTCCTCCGTGGGCGCCTGCGGGGCGAGGAGCCGAGCCTTGTTCTTCGGCTCCTGCAGGCGCATCAGGAGCCGCCTCGCCTCCTGACTACCTACCAGACCACCCCAACCCAACCCGAAGACCCGAATTTCGGGTTGGGGGGGGTAAGGGTTCAACACGTGTTTTTTCTATGTTTCCCGACCCCCCCCCACTGGAAGTGGAGGGCAAATCGGGGCCTTCGGGTTGGGTTGGGGTGGGTTGGTGGGTGGTGACCTCCGCCGCCCGCTCGCCCGGGGCAGGCCGCCCCTTGCAGCTGCCCAGCAGGCCAGTCCCTGCAGGAGGGGACCTCTTCCAGAAGCGGCAGCCGCATTTCAGGCACCAGGCCATGGCCCCGTCCCCGTTCTCGAGGCGCGAGACGACGATGCAGTGCCCGCGCGCCTCCCGCGTCACGCCTGCTCCAGCCGCCGCTGCCTGCAGCTCGGGGGCAGCGGCCGCTGCATCCTCGAGCTCGACGGCGGCGGCCCCTGCGGCGGCGTCGGGCTGCTGGCCGAGCTCCGCGCCCGCAGCGGCCCCAGCAGCAGCAGCAGGCGCCTGGCCGTGCTCGAGCTCGGCCTCGAGCGCCGCCGCAGCCACCTCCTCGTCGGCCAGCTCCGCCGCGTCCAGCGCCTCCTGCGGGATGTCGCAGACGAGGTCGGCCGTGCCCACCACCCCGTCAGAGTCCAGCTTCTCGTGGTCCACCATGGTGGCGGCCAGCTCGCCGACCCAGCGCCCAAGCTCCTCCACGCGCCAGGCGCACGCCTGGAAGAACCAGACCAGCTCCTCGTCGATCGGCCACAGGGCGGCGCCCCGCTTGGCCCACAGGTCGGCTGCCCTGTTGCCTTTGATCATGAGCTCCTCCTCCCAGGTGGCCGCCGCGGCGAGCGCCTTGTGCGCCTTGACTTTGCGCACTGTGGCCGGCGGGCCAGGCCCTGCCCACCGCTCCTGCCACAGGTGGCGGCGCGCCTGCAGCGGCGCGAGGGCCTTGCCCCGCGAGAGCGCCAGGCCGACCGTGCCCGCACAGTTGCAGAAGACCTCGAGGCCCGAGCCGTCGTCCGACGCCTGCCAAAACTGGACCAGCATGTGGAACGCGTAGTCCTCGCCGTCCCTGGCCTCCTGCTCGGGTCCGTACTTTCGCGGGGCGATGCCGTGCATCCCGCCGATGGCCTCCCCGCCGAGGCCGATCTGCACCACGGCCCAGCCAGCGCGGCGGGCCCCTCGCAGCGCAGGGAACCTGGCGCTGCCGTCCACGTAGACCCTGCCCGCGAGCTTCGAGCCAGGCGGCGCGCCGAACCAGCGCGGGGCCGCGAGCGCAGCGTCTGCCGCCGTGGGGAAGGCAAGGGCAGGGTCGGGGCAGAGCGCACGCGCGAAGAGCTCCGCCGCGGCGTCCCCGCGCTGCGCCACCAGCCGTGCCCCCTCCAGCAGCTCGGGCGAGCACGCGTCCCGCCGCAGCGGCTGCCAGGCGTCGCACTCGAAGGCCCTGTGCCGCAGCGTGCCTCGACCTCCACAAAGGCGGCAGAGGCCGTCGCGCGCCTTGCCCTCCTTCCAGAGGCGCTCCTGCGGCCAGTGGGAGCCGCCGAGGACCGCCACGAGCGCGCGCCTGTGTCGGGCCTGCCAAAGCGGCGGCGGCGGCGCGGGCCCCTGGCAGCCTGCGCCATGGGCGGCCCCAGCGGAGGCCTGCTCCACGGGGCGGCGGCTCGCGTGAAGGAGGCGCCCCAGCCCCTTCCAGTTCACAGGCCATGCCCAGGCGCCAGGCCCGCGCAGCCGCTGCAGCGCGAGTACATCCGAGGCCAGCAACGCCGACGTGCGCACCACCTGCACCAGCATGCCTGGCGAGTAGAACTCCAGCGAGAAAGCCCGCGCCTGCCAATCGATGACGGCGTTGTAGGCCACCATCTCGCATCCGACCCGCCTCAGCACCAGTGCACGCGCCTGTGCAGGGTCGCGGCACTGCCCCCAGGGGCGGCGAAGGTCCAGCAGGCCTTGCGCCCCGAGCCAGCACTCCTGCACCACCGCGGCACTAGGCAGGCCCGCCTCCAGCGTCATGCCCCAGGAGCGCGCCACCTCCACCGCGTGCACCACGAAGGGGTCACGGTAGGCGGCGCCGTGCTGCGCCCGCAGCCGCAAGCCAACGCTGGCGCCCATGGGCAGCCTGCCCTCCGCGCGCATGGCGGCGACCCGCAGGCCGTGCAGCTTCCCGCAGGCGAGGCCCGTCACCGCGGAGCCCCAGACGGCGGTGGCAGTCGGGCTCCCCCTCTGGATGTGGCCCACCTGCGCACCAGCACTGCGCAGCAAGCGCGCCCGCGCACTGACCGCCGCCGCGCGGCCGAGCCGCGCGTCCTGCTCGCCCACGCGCCTCCAGCGCCCGTCCGTGGCGTCGCCGCCGAGGCAGCGGGCGCCTGTCCAGCGGGCCAGCGGCCCATGCGCCCAGCAGCCGTCCAGCGCGTCGCCCAGGTCCTCGCTGTTCATCAGGTAGCCCGTCTTCGCTTCCGAGATGCCCAGCCCCTTGGCGACGAGGCCCTCTATGAGGGCAGCCATGGCCCTGGGTAGCTGCTGCACCACCTGAGCCTCGCCACCGACCGCCCGCAGCAGCACGTCGTCAACGACGTTCTGCAGGCGA